ATTAAAAGCTTTCTCCCTAGCCTTAGCTAGGGAGTTAGTTTCCCATAAAATAAAACTAAAGAAATTAAAACTAAAAGAATCAGAGGAAGGGGAGAGAGCTCAAGAGAAGATTGTGAGCTTGGTGTGTGTTTTGAAGCTTGAAGACTTCTCTATTTATAGGTCTAAGAAGGAGAAACATGATGACGGATTCTAACACCACCATTCCTATTTTAATGCAATACCTAACTCCCACTTCATCTTGCCTATGAATTGGCATTGAATTTGAGCTTCTTTGGAGTGGATGATACCTCACAAGCATGTGAATTCAATTTCTTCTTATTTGCTTCCATCCCATACTTTTTTTCCTTTCCTCTTTTGGCATGGGTGTGGCACTTCATGCATTCTTTTCTTCTTGTGCTAGTTGCACTTCTTCCTTCATCATCATTCTTCATGGATATGTTGAAGTTCTTTAATTGACCACTAGCATATTATCTTTGGGTGGCACACTTCTTGGCATGCAAATTGAGTTGGTTTTCACAGCACACAAGCCTACATAGGAAGTCATTGATCAAAGTTAATAAAACAACATTAAACCAATTTGACCAAGTAAAAATATAAATGCATAAGATTATTTAATTACCCATTATAATTGCTTTTAAAATTAAATGTTAAGGAAAATAAACATGTATTATTGTAATATTATCAGCTTACTTCTCCATTTGATTAAATTAGCCAATAAATGGCAATACATGTATCAATTTTGACCATAGGTGTCTATAGATTATCTTTGTTTCTGTACAACAAACTTGCTTATACTTTGATTCTCTTATGAGTTTTTGGTTTGATTCTATTATGCTCTAGGTCTTTTGGTTTCATTATGTTACAGGTATTCAATAATTTGTGGCAATGACTGAGATTATACTTTGTTCACTGGATTTGGAGAATACTTGGCGTATTTAAATTGTGGTTTGTGCAATTGATTTTGTGGCCATAAGCCATTGTCTTCGCTCAAATTTTCCTATTTGTCTACACAAACACCTACCATTTTCCAAATTTGTAGCAACAAAATCAACGCCCATTGATTTGATTCTGTTAAAGCTCAGGTGTTTTGGCTTAATTTTCTTATACCTATTTAATAAATTGTCACAATTGTTCGAAGTTTGTTACCAATTGATTAAATAGAATGAGGTTATACTTATGTCCATCAAATTAATAGAATGCTTGATGTATTTAAACCGTTGTTTGTGCTGTTGGATTTTTTAAAACTTAATTATGTTATAATAATTTAGTCACAACACCAATTTCTCATTTATCTACTCTAATGCCTGTCATTTTCCAAATTTGTACCAACAAAGTTGAAATCCTCCTGCAGAGAACAAGAAAGAACATAAGCCACCTCTATGGCAGAGCCAACAAAGCAAGAGATGGATCCCCTTCCAGCAAACATGAAAGCATAAAAATCCCCTTCCACCACCCAGTAGTATGTATATAAATACTTGTCCAAACTCTTTTGAACAATGAACATCTCAAAACTGCTGATATTTTGGTGTTTTGATTGCTACTTGATTTATTAAAATATAGTCAATATTTTAACATGACAAGCAACATATAATACGGTTATTAGTGTATTTTTGTAACTTAAACTTGCTAAACAAAGCATGATGCAACTATTTAGATCTCCATGTCTATATAAATAATACCATTTTCCCTATATATTTGAATGACGTTGTACACATTTCACACAGTTTTAAAACCCGCAGCATCGCATGAGCTCCTTCACTAATAAAATACTAATATTAGAATCTCCATTTAATACGCCCCCCCCCCCCCCCCCCGGCGGCGCCCAAACAAAACAGATGAAAGTAGGCGCCTCTCTGAATCCTGGAAACGTGAAGAACCACCGGCACAAAATACACACCTGACATTAAAATGTTTCATTTTATCTTCAAAACCTCTCTCCATCTTCAACAAACCAGAACCCTGAATGCCAATATCAGATCCCTCACCACTCTCAGCATTTGTGCCTACCCAGCACTCACAGACTATCTCACAAACACTTTGGCTTTCACCCCAGAGTCAGCTCTTCAAGTCTCCAAGAAAATCCATGGTAGACCCCCCAACAATCCCTACCCAGTCCACTCCCTCTTCGAACATTACGGTTTTACCCCTACCCACATAGCCAAAATCATCACCATATGCCCATCCTTCCTCTGGGCAAACCCAGAAAAAACCCTCAAGCCCAAGCTAGACTTTCTCGCCCAAAATGGCATTTATGGTCAAGACCTTGTAAGCACAATCACCAACAACCCCAGAATTCTAGAGCGGAGTTTGAACAAACAGATTGCGCCCTGTATTGGGTTCCTCAAGAGCTTTCTTGGGTCTGCCTCGGCTTTGTTGTCGCACTTTTCGGTCAAGCGTGGTACTGCGGTTGTGCTCAGATTTTCTGACTCTATGGGCGCGAACGCTGAGACTCTAAGACAACACGGTGTGCCTCACAGTAACATTATAAAGATGATCGCGTGCCAGCCACGGATATTTTCAAGGGATGTTGAGGTTTTCAGTAAGATTGTGAGGGAGGTTGAGGAACTGGGTTTCAATCCGTTGAGCATGATGTTCATCCATGGCGTGTGTACGGTTTTTTCGATGAGGAAGGACAAGTGGGTTTCAAAATTTGAGGTGTTGAAGAGTTTTGGGTGGTCGGAGGCGGAGTTTCAGGCTTTGTTCTTGAAGCAACCCCCGGTAATGAGGTCGTCGGAGGAGCGATTAAAGAGGGCATTGGACTTTTTCATGAACAAGATGGGGTGGGGCACTTCGGACATTCTCAAGTACCCAGTTTTGCTTTGCTTGAGCTTTGAAAAGAGGGTGTTGCCGAGGTGGTCGATACTTCAAGTTTTGATTGCCAAAGGTGTTATAACCAAGAGCAAGAAGACTACTGCGAAGGCATTTATGCAAACTGAGGACAAGTTTGTGAGCGAGTATGTGAACGGATATGAAGAGCATGCGCCTGAACTTTTGGAGATGTACCAAAAAAAGCTCCAAGGTTTATGATATGTGACTCTGTTTCCTTGCAATGAGGTGGGAGCTTTTATTTTTCTGTGCAATAATTAGGTTTTTTTATTTATTGTTATTGGTTCATGATTTGGTTATTGAAGAACCTTGACGGGATTATGGTTTCATTTGCTTTTATCTATATTGGCAATTGTTTTAATTCAATATATGTTGTGCTTTCATAGTATAATTTTCTGACTTAGTAATAAGGCAATATTTTTATTTTATTTTTAAAAAGCTGAAACCTGATTAGTGAACCAGTTTGCAGACAGACAAAAACCTTATGAAAGCATTTTTGAAGTGTTTTTCCTTTTCCTTTTATTCATTTGCTATGCATTTCTCTTTTGAAATATGTCATGGTGAAAAAAAGAAAAAGCATGTCCTTGGAACGGAACCATGCATTTATCTGATAAAAGGGAAGACTACCATTTGCTGTTAATATGTTTTTTGCTAGGGGAGTTGGTAGGTGGTCTGCCTATGTGTTTGTCCATGTTACTGTTCGAAGTCTTGATTTGCTTGGCCATGCAAATAGACCGCTGCTGATAATAAGAATCTTCTATTGTTGGCAGAGTATTATTTCTGTACCAGGAATGCTGTAAATAACCTGAAACTTGACAATGCGCATGTATGTCTATTTTTCTAGAGTATATTGAGGAAAAGGCATGAGAACTACTAGCACTTTTAGATATGATTTATTGGATGATGGATTGAAATTGAGGATGAGATGACACGAAGCTACTAGGCCTGGCAACTTATCAGTGGTGAGTGTGCTGATGTTCAGTTCTTTTGGAAATGCCTAATGGTGCTTGCACTTATTATGGTAGAAACTGGGAGGTCTCATTGGTTCCAAAGTCATTTCCTTACTTTTGTTTTTCCCTTTTGTAGTGGGGTGTGGAGGATAAATGATCTATTCTTTAGCAGTATTTTTAGTATGTAGATGGAAATCAGGAAGGAACATGTAATGAGAAATTGGGGTTGTGACTACATGTGATGGTAGAAGAATGAGTGATGCTTTTCTTATAGGACAAAGCCAGATTCTGGGCCTCGCTCCAGGCTTCTGTTTCTTCTGAGTTCCCAGGCTTCCCTTTCTTCCCTCTGACTTTGGATTGGGAAGCAGCTAGTTCTTATGGTTTGGGTCTGTTTTCAGCCTGGCTGTTCTGCTGTTATGTTGTTTTTTTGTAGACTTTTGTAGTTTGATGGTTGTTTTTTTAATAGACAGCTTGTTCACTTATATTGTACTTCCCCCTTTCATTCTTGTTCAATTTTTCTGTTTCCTATTAAAATAATGTGGATCATTTCTTCTGTATATAGCTACATTATTGCCTTATTACTAAGTTTCCCCTAACATTCTTTCCTCCTTTTAGGGTAGGTTGGATGGCTGGTGCGGTCCTGAGATTGGTCATCAAGGAGTTTGAAGGTTTTTCATGGACCAATTGCTTCTCAGTTCCCACTGTATTTGTTGTGTCAAAAGAACATGATGGTCACTGTATTTGTTTGAAGGTTTTTGTGTATGTAATATTTTTGGGGCCTCCATTTTCAGTTCCATGCTACCTGTGTAATCACCATGACTATGCCTCCAATGTGATGCCTTTTCTGATATAAGAACAACATGGGGAAATCCTGCAAATAGGAATTCTTTATATGGCAGACTTTTTATATTTGGTTTTCTTTTAACTTATGAAAAAATAATAATAAAGGTTTTCTTACTATCTTTATCATCCTTCTCACTTTTGCAAACATTTCTGAATATCTTTTTTTTTTTTTAAATTTTATCTGCGGCATGTCTATGAAAGAAAATTGAAATCATTATGCCTATACATGTGAAGGAGTTTATATATATATATTTTTTTGCCAGATGTGAAGGAGTTCTTTTTAAGTCCGTATGTTTTTATGCAGTTGGTTTCGACCCAAACAACAAATTAACGATGAGCAGCTGGCCTACTTCTCCATTCAAGACAGGTAATTGTTTTTCCTTCTTGTTTTCCTTCACCCATTTATTGAATTTTGTATTTATCAAATCATTTTGGAGATTCCTGTGCGTTTGGATATAAAATGCTTCCTTGATTTTTATAAAAACAATCGTCCTATCTGGTCCTCCAAGTTTGCCATAAGATTTTACTTTTGAACTTGTTGCTCTATTGCTTGCAATTCTTTCTACTCTTCTGGCTTCTTCTCTTATCAAACAACATGGAAAGAAAAAATATGTGGGGTTCTTTCGTTACATCACCTCATGTATGGATACTTTCTTTTTCTTGGATGAGTTGTTCTGCCTTTTGAAGTCCCTCTCTAAGTTGTTGTAAAAGGTCATCTACTTAAGCATGTAGTTAAGTTTTGTTCCAACTATTCAGCAATCTGATAATCATTTACAGTATTGTTCAATTACTTTAAGAAATAGAGTGCCATGCACCGCAAGATTTTCTTGGTTGGTGGTGAAGACATTGATTGACTAGTAAATACGACCCAAATTTCACATGTCACCCTCAACTACAAAATCTTGCAATATCAAACCTAACGTTTACAAATCATTTCAATGCAGCCCCTCCATCATTTAGGCCGTCACTCTTCTCGGCTTTTCCTCCGAGGCTTGGGTGGGTCTCAATTCTTTTGTGATGTATCAACTCATGGACCCATGTCTACCCATCTGAGGGCATTTTATGTTAGGTTTGATATTGCAAGATTTTGTAGTTCAAGTTGCAATGTGAAAATATAGGACATACTTGAGTGGTGCAAAGTGTATGATATTTGCATGATATTTGAAAAAATGTTTTTGTTGCTGGCCAATAATTATCGCCTGGATTTCGCAGGTCTTTCAAGGAGGTTTCAAGTTTTGGGAGTCGAGGAGATTTCATGTAGATGTTATTGGATCTTCAAAAGTCTTTTGATTTGGATACCAAAAGTAGAGAAAATATTGACAATCATAATCTGATTGAAAGGAGTTGTCTGGCTAATCCATGCTATTGCCCTTGGGGTTTCTAGGACGCATCTTTTTGTTCTAGGCAGATCTTGATGCTTATGGACTCAATGGAATGATTCGACCCTTTGAGGGTGCCGAAATAATGGGTTTGGTGAAACACTTTCCTATCAATTTACTCTTTGTAGCCTAATGGAACTGGCAGAAAAATAAATCCATGTTGATGTTCCTGTACCTTCCAACAAATGGCCAATAAATTCTCAAATATACATGCTCTCTCGAGCTCCAAATGAAAACTAGCCAATCGAGGAAGAGGAAAGACGCAAGTCCAAAGAAAGTTTTGATACCTGTTTGGGATGGGCAGATTATACCTTGTTCAATGACTTAAAAGTTGTATCCTTTAATAAAAAACACTTAATTAATCAATCAAGTTAATGAGTAATGCTAGGCAGGTCCTACCTCTATTAGGGATGTGGTCTCCCTAGCATTTTTGGTAAGTTAATTGCATGCCAGACATTGAAACTTGGCATTGCATATTCAACGGGAGAACGTAGCTTCATGAAGACCAGCTTAACGGAAACTTTGAAGGCCTAACCACAATTTATAAGACGATCTTCACGAAAAACAACCCTATTCTACATGAAGTTAATTGATTTGGGGTAGTGGGCTAGCTTAAGGCACCGATCTCTGAAAAAACTCAATGAGATGCTTATTAGAGGAGGCTGCCGTATACAAAATTCTGCTTAGTCTTAACAGTGAACAAATAGTTTGATCTAACAATTAGAAGATAAATAAATACCATATGTTTTGAATTTGTAACAAAGTAGTTAACATAGGCTCTGCAATCATGCTCATACTTTGGTTAAGAATCTCAAGTACAACCTATCTAATTATACATGCAAATTTTCCAAATATGCGTAAACATCTGTTCCATGATGTTATGACTTGAGTTATAAGTACCGGATTGGATATAAACAAATGAATTAATTCTCATCATAGAACACTTCTGAACTTACGCTAGGCATCTGTTAAAGTTCATGATTATGCTGGCTTTGAATTCAGCTTCAGCCAAAAAATTTGAATCAATGATGACATGTAAGAATGCATACTAGCGATTAAACCATCCCTATTTTTCTGCATACTAGCGATCAACCATTGATAGTCCGACAGAGTAGAATCTGATAACGGCTCCAAAAATTCACACCTTGCCAAAATCTGAGGTGGAGGTACTCCTGCAACAAGGTTTGTGTCTAGTCTTGGCTTTCCCTTGATGAGCTCATTCAAAACTTCGGGCGGAGCACTATCAAGAGCAGATGGGGATGCTCCGGGGACTACCTCCTGCTTAAAAGGGAGTGCTCGAGCAGTTTGCAAGCAGAACTCTATCCATTGATGGATGAGCGGAGATGGCCCTCTAACTCTCCCCCCAATTCGTGCCTAGAAAAAGAAAAAAAAAATATAAACTTGACATCTGGGAGAAGATATCATATAAAGGACGACTTAAATTTCTACGACAACATGATGCAGGGTGTACCCATAGATCGGCCCATATACTAGCTCCTGATTTGGGAACAATTACTGCAACATTAGACATGCGTTTGGCAACAGGAAGAACATCACTACTCCACCCAACAGCCATCCACACATCTCCAACCCCAAACGCTTTTAAATAGTGTACACTGTCAAATAGTCGGACCTACATAAGGCCAATGAGCACACCATGATACAAATTAGAACAGAGCAAGTAACCTTCTGCATCATTCTGACAGACTTTTTTTCATTTTCCTAACAATTCTGAGACATGTTCACCACATGAATTATCATAAATGTTTCAGCCACCACTAGAAATACCCCTACCTAAAGTAGAATAATTTTGAGCCATAGCTCTAAAACTGACTCCCATTACCCAAATTTAGCTCCAGATTTGGCAGTAATCTACTTTTTCAGTAGTTTATCAAGTGCCTCTAACTTAGATAGTTTCTCTCAATACCTGTTTTACAAGTAGAGCAAGATTTTGCCTGACAGCATCTCTCCCACCATCAACTTGCAAATGGATGTCTTTTGTGTTGTATGATGCTCCCATGTACTTCAAAACTGCACCAATAACCTCTCTAGGAGAATCAACCATTGAAATCTTTCCTGCAAGTTCAGGTCGCCATAAATCTGCCCAGTCCTGCAATGCCAACTCTTAGAATGTTTGTATTTAAGACAACATTTCGTAAAAACCAAAACATGCCAAATACAAACAAAACCAGTTATTCAGAATTTAATGTAACTCTCAGCTTTCTTTAAGCAAGTTCCAGCAGGTAACCTTGCCAAACCACTATAGCCCTTGAATCAGTTTCCCAACTTCTTTTTTAATATTTTCCCCTTCTCCATGGCACATCATGTGTATCAATGAAATTGTTAAAACTCTCTCAAGGAGAAAGAAGTATAGCATAATAAAATAACTTCAGAGACATGTTACCTCTACAGGAGCCAACTTATGCTTTCGGAATTTAGTTTTTTTGTATGCTATCACCATGCAGCCCCAGCGATATGGAGCAGCCCATACTTTACCATCAGGATCAATTCTCCCCTCAGAGTTCCTGCGGAGATATACCTGATACCTTTTTAGCAAAAGTAAAACACCATAAAGCGATTTTTTATGGAGCAAAAAGGCATTGCCAATTCGAAACAGTACACCTAGCAAAAGCAAATGGTTAAACAACTTAAGGAAACATGCACAATAAAACTCAGGAAGTTAATAGAATTAACTGATATTGACTAAGAATGGGTATATAACACACTGTTGACGGCAGGAAAACAACACCAGCCAACATATATTGATTCTGAGGTCTGGCATGCCAGTTGAAACATTTAAGCAGGTTTTCAATCCACATATCATCTACATGTACATAGTCTTCAGAATATGCGTGATTCCGGAGTTTCCAGTTACACAACATAGATCTTAGAAATCAGGGCTTGCCCTCTTGGTAGCTCATTTAAGATTTATAATAAAGCTACTGGTATAATCCATCACATGGATGCTACTAAAACTATAATAAATTTATCTATTCCTTTGATTTCTGGACAAGAAAACAAGTGTTGCAGTTCAACACGACCTGTGACCTTCAATAATTTGCACAGGACAGACATCAACATAAAATGGCATAGCTTGAAAATAGGCATAGATAGCATCACTTAATGTGTAAACAGGGGATCCACTAGAACACACTATTCAGGAATCAGGAAACATGAAGACACGAAAGAGCAGTTGTATTCTTACTTTCCATCTGTCACTCAATCCTTTAAACCAGTCCTGGTCTTCTACCCCTTGAATGGGTTCAATTAAAGCCTTGTTAATGGCATAACTGAGCCAAGAATCCCCAACACTAACGAGGTCAGCTGCTACAATAGATGAAGGCCCAACTTTGCCTTTGCTAAAGGCCATTGACAGATCAGAAAAGATGCCCTCAAGACTTCCATGGGACTTCAAGTGAACCTTTGATCTTTTTCCTTGAGATTGCATGAAATCCTACAGGTCAGAAAGCAAATTAAGTTATCAACCACGCAAGTTGCCTAAACTCGCACAAAACCAGCTACCCATCAAACCAAATACTAAATTCCATGTCATATGACAAAATACAGAGAAAGAAATGCGCCAGAGACCTTAACCCATGAAGGTGGAACAGAGCCACGCAGAGCAGCAATTCTCAAAGGTACAGTCAAAGCATATGTCTTAGACTTCCAAGCTCCAAATGCTGCTTCCAACTTGCTATCTTCTGACTTTTCCAAATTGCCAGATTTACCCTCATCACCATCATCTGTGGCTGTGCTCAACAAATGTACAATCACCACAAGTACAACAATCAAACATAAACTAAACAGCCCGCCCTTATTGGTATTGATAAAATAATAATAAAAAACTATGTCAGCTGCTTTGGGAAATTACCTTGAGCTGGGTGCTCCTCCTCTAGGACCGCCCCAGGGTCGCCGAGAGGAAGAGCCGGACATTGGGCCGAAGCGGCCCAACAGCAAAGCCCAAGCCCAAAGAAGAGGGCGGCAGAGGCGGCAAGCCGAAGCAAGGTCTGAGGCACGGCAAAGGTGGGCTGCTCCGACGCCGGAGAATGTGGAGTGAGTCTGAGGCCACAAGAGAACGAGAGAGGCCTATGACAGCGGAGAGTCGGTTGGGATTTGGTAGAGCGATGGAGGCGAGGAAAGAAAAGGGTGAGCTTATTAGGATTTTGGAGAGATGAGAGGTCCAAGGGGAACGAGATGTGTGGTGGCACCAATGGAACGGCGCCAGCAGCAGCAGCAGCCATGGAAGAGAAATAATCGAACATAAAAAGAGTGATGACGGAGGGAGCAGAGTTTCATATGATCCAACTTGAGGTTTTCAAATTTTTCACAAAACTCCTGAGGTTTCAGAAATTATATGAACGCCCTGAAGTTTTAAATTATTTTCACAAAATTAAATTTCATTGATTTTTGGTCCAAAAATTAATGTTTTTCTATAATAAAAAAATTCTCCAAATGACAAAGTTGGTGTTAAGACCGAACAATCTAAAGGCCGGGCCCAGACTTATTCATAGTCCAGCACAAATATTTAACCACAAAAGGGGCCCAACTGGGACATATGAGAACAGGGATGCACTTGCACAAGTTATAGGCCACACGCCATGCCAAGTAAACACACGCACCCACCACGCAAAAGGGTCAAAACGCACTAGCTCTATAAATTCACGCTTACTGACATATCAAGTGCTATTTGGCCCAATCATAGCTTATTACGGCATAATAGAATCCAAGCACAAACATGCTAAATAAACATGCGATGCCAAGCAAAAGGACCGCTATTCTAATGCCAAGCTATGCTACAGGCTTAAGTGGGCCCAAAACACGTAAATATCTGGGACTTGTTGAGAATGTTGTGGTATAGATGAGTACGAGCACTCACAAGGCCTATTGATGGTTTAATGAATGGAAGTTTTAGGTTGCTTGGGAGCACTATAACTTAAGCCCATTTCTTGGGCTCAAGCACATGGGTAAGCATGAGAAAGAGAAAAGTGATCCAAATGTTTTAGGAGAATATCTAATGGTCTGTTGCAACACTTAGAAAATTCCACATTAGTTAAAGCATCCAACACCTTGTCAAAAACGAAGCAAATGAACAACTTCCAG